GCAGTGAACTAATTAATAGGGCTAGGCTATTTCAGCACTGTCAAAATTGAGCAGGAAAAGACACTTTCTGTCCTTGTCTGTTTATTAATGCTGGCTTCCCAACTACTTGTGTATCAGGAATGTAATATCTACAGAGAAGCATTCTTATGATTCAAAGAGATAATCAGTAATAATGCTGCAGTGTCTAACTGTAGAAGAAACCACTAAGTGTTCATAGAGGAACTGCATTGCATTCTAATGACAGTTTTCTAGCTGCAATGTAATCATGTAGGACTTTCCAGAAAAGCAAACCACTTTTAGCAGGAGTAGTTTCCCATTGCTGAAATGTAATCAAGAGCATCACTAAGGGTAGCTGGATGCAAAGATGCAAAAGTCAAAAAGAAAGATAATGATTGACTATCCCCTAGGATATTAGGATATTAGGATATTAGGATATCCTAATCCTCTGTGGTATTTTGAAAAGATTCAGTCAGCATGATTCTAAAAAAAAGCACTTAGAACATAGGGCAACAAAGTGTTACTGAAAGGAATTGGCTCACAGTTATAACTGCTATTTGACATTGATTTTTGAACTTATATAGCAATGACATTTCCTAAAATAATCAACAAGAACTTATATTCCATTGCATTAAATATTTTGTAGGAGATTAAATAAGACCTTGGGGGAAAAAAGCTGAACATTTGGAGAGCCTTGTGTTTGGAATATCTTGGTAGGCAGAAGAAAAATCACAGCAAGTTGGAAAATTATTCTGTGTGGACTGGGAAGTTGAATCACTTTCTCCCTTGGCAGGAGCAATAGGAAAAAAAAAAAAAAGGGAGGTGGCGGTCCCACTGGCCTTATAGGTAAGGCATCCTTTGTTTTGGGAGATGATGAATTGACTGATTAAACTCCAAAAAAAAAATAGAGTATCTTTATTATCTACTCTTCCCATGTATAACTTGTAGGTGGAGTAGCATGAAAAGCATCCAGCAGTTAATATATGCTGGATGATGTAAAGACCGTGAATATGACAAGAACTGATAAATACATATGGTAGAAAATAATAGATAAATCTTTAACAAAAAGTTAACCTGAACAAAAAGATCATGAATCCACTCATAATAGCACCTTTCTTTCCCTGTAAGATAAATAAGCTTTTCTATTTGTCTTTTGAGTAACACATTCACTTATTTACTGACTGTAATTCAAATGTTCTCTTTGCTGAGTTATACCAAAACTTAGAATGTCAGGGCCATGTGAAGTGACTGTTACAATAGCTCAATGCTAGCTGTAGGCCGGGGAAATACAACTTTGCTTAGTGTCAGTAATCTTGAAGGTATGAAACTATATCTAGTAATTCGCATGAACGAACAGGGATGAAAACCACAATGAAAACAAAGAGTTTACATGTGGAGATCCAGGATCCCCAAGGAAGCCTTAACAAGGCTGCCTGCTGTTTTTTATGAAGGTAAAAAGTTTTGTTACTATTCATGAAAGGGAAAGACTTTCTCATCTACAGGAGAATATCTTGTCATCGTGTCTACAGAGTGCTCAAATGTACACAATAACCAGTCATCCTCATTTTACTTGCGATGGTATGGGATCAGGGCTCTTCGACATGAATGTAGCCCTGTGTAGAAACAGCAATGTGGACGATGAGTTTGTGCTTTGGAAAATGTGCTGCATCACAACCTCACTGCAGCATGGACCACTTATTCTAAAAACCATATCACAAGAAAAATGTGCATTTTTGCTGTGAGCCACAGAAAGCAGAGTTCTATGGAATTTTCCTTGATTGAAGGACTGAATCAGAATTGGTGAGCAAATTAAGATTTTCTTAGACGTTGATAACCACTGGGCTACAGCATGTGCTGAAAACTCCTGAACTGGTCAGGGAGGCTCTGGTCACTGAATTACTCTTTTTTTGTTTGTTTCATAAAGTAAATATTGGCTTCTCATTTCATTTTAAACCAAATAATCATATCCCAAGAGACTATATCAATTGCTGAATCTAAGAACATGTTTACATTTTACCTTATTTTCCTCACAATTGATGCAATGAAATTTTTATGAAATTTTTTCCAAATGAAAAATTTCAAGTTAATCAGATATAAAAAATATCATGGGTGTAGTAGAAATTTTTTCAATCTATTGCAGTAAGAACTATACCCACTGATAATTATTGTAAACTCTCAAATAAACAGATTTTAGAGACTGCTAATTTTTCACATAAATACTTAATCCAATATTATCACTTCTTCCTATACTGCTCTTATTATATTATGTATGAGAGCTACAACTTACATACGTTGACAATCAGGAATTACTGATACAAAGCAGCTCTGGGAATCAAAAGGAATGCAGGGTTTGATACAAAGGAATAACTTACCTAATACCTCTGAGGAAGTAACAAGTCTCTTGATGACCATTTTTATTAAGTTTTAATTATTTGTTATAATACTCTGCATGCCAAAAGCTCCTTGACAGTTAACTGTTTATGGGTTCATGGTACTTAGATGTGAAAAGGACATAGGTAGACTTGGACAAAAAAAATGTTAAAAATTAGCAGAATATAGTGGCATCCTATATTTATTTCAGCATGTTAGGATAGAAAACCTTCTGGTACTATGCTCTCCTGGGACATTAAAACAAGAACATTCTAGGTCCAAAGGCTTTACATTTTCAAAAGTCTGAATTATGGGGTTCTTACTTTCTTTTTGATGAGGATACCAATTGTACAATAAATACCTTTTTGGTCTTTATTTCTTCAAAACATGAAAACAAAAAATGAAGTGGGTGACGATGAGAAGAGAGAAAACATGCCATACACAATGTGCTGTAGTACTAATGATTAAATCAGAAATGATTAGAAACTTTATTTGTCTATGTCAATAATGTGTTCCATTTGTAAAGGACAGCACAAGTAGTGCACTTCCCCCTCCCCTAAAACTGTGCACAACACACACAAAATAATTATACACAAGTAGTATAATTAATAATAGCCCTGAATAACCACAATCATATTATTCCTATAGCACAAAAACTCAAAAAGCAAAAGAACAAAAAACTTTGAAGTTAAAATTGACCAACACCAAAAAAAGAGAAAATTTTTTTTTTGAGTCCTCCATGGTAAATTGCTATGGGATTGTTGATATTCCAGATGTGGCTAAAAGTGAGCACTGACTCTAATGTTTAAACAACTTACTTGATACTTCTAGGCTAGCTTTCCATTTAGTAAGCATCAAAAAGGTTGGATTAGAATGTGCCTCACAGGAGTTAGGAGTTAGGTCACCAGTTTGTTGGGTCACTGGCCACTCCAGATGTAGACCTGGGTCTCCAAGAGAGAATTTGTGGGTTGAGAAGTCACGTTGTCAGATTAGCAACCGACTTGACCTTCCCCATAATTTGGATCACTAGAAAGACTGCTCTTCTGGGCTTAAAAGGGGGACATGGACATATCTGTAACTTGGTCATGTGCTTAGCTAAAGAAAATCTTGGACATTTGGACAATGGTATGGTTTAAGAGTATTTTCTGCTAAAAGGGTTTAATTGTGTTTTCCCTAGCAAGGCATGTTTGTCTCTACATGGCTATGTTAACTTTTCCAAATGGAAATAGCAGTCGTTGAAATTGTAACTCTCCTGAGGGCAGGGATCTGGGCCATCTTGTTTATGGGTTAGTTACAAGGAGGCAGCATACCACCTGACATATTGAATGAGTAACCATTTAATTATTCATTAACTAGGTGTCTGTTACATGATGGAGGATCAGGATTGCTGAATGGACAAAAAGGAAATTCATTTTAGGAACAGTTACTAAGTATGAATCAACAGAAGGATAGGGTTGGGTCTAGCATGGCGTTCCTTAGAGACAGAATCTGATGGAGGTGACTGACATCTTTTACTAGTGGAGTTACTACTTTGAAATGTGAGTTTATCCACACTCTTTGGTATTTTGTGGTAGTCATTCCTATGCTCCCGGGAGGTGCTGATCTTCTTTCATTGCCCCCTTTTCAGGCATGTGTAGAGGAGAAATCTCCCTTGGGAATGCTAACTTCTTTCTGATGCAGGAGCTATGGCTAGAGGAGTCTGGATGAGAAAGGCCAGGGGGAAAAAAGCTCAAAAAAAAAGCCTTTTACATAAAAAAAATGGAAAAAACTTTTAGTATCTACTATCTGTGCCAGACAGAGCAGATAGGCAATAAATATTGAGGGCCGAGGGGTCGGGGAAGGGAGAGACGAGGCGGGGCCTGTGGAAACCGCAGCTTTGGAAGCCCAGGCACATCTGGTGCATCTGCTTCTCTACATTACCTTTCTCTTTGGCCTGGTGGAACTAACCAGTGATTCTTAGATGCCCCAGATGTGTTCCACAAAGCGGGTTCTCTATGAAGATCCTTGTAGTTTTCCAGCCACTCTCTTAATAACTTTAACTTCTTCCGCATGTGATGGTTATTGCTTCTTAGGAATGAAGGTGCAGATTCACAAATAAGCCATTTTCTCCTCATATCTCTAAATAATAATCAAACTCAGTAACAATCAAAGTAACAACTGAGGTGAAAAGCAAACTCACTTAGTTCTTCAATGTCCAATCATCATTGCTGAATGGGAGGACAGTATATGCTATACTCTATTATATACAGATATGCTTTGTTTTGTTTTTCATCCATGCACGGTGTAACAGGTCACAACAACATTCCCAAACAGGCACATGAAAAAGAAAGTGAATGTTTAGTCATGACTGAAACAGGATTGTGCAAGCCATGGATGCCTTTGAAAATAAAACTGACAGACAAGCCCAGGCAAGAGCAACATGGGGTTGGGAAACATGGATGCAAATGGAAAAGGAAGATGTGCTTTTTGAGTAGAGTATTCTTCCTGTTTGCATGTTGGGGCAGGTGAACAGGAGGAGGAGAAGGGTAGGGATGGGACACCTGCAGGGTTAGCTGGGCTGGAACATAAGGGCCTTGATAATCATAATCTAGACCTAGAGAAAGAAGAAACAAATGATTTTGTGTGTTCTTGGCAATCTAGGCACATTCACGCTGTACCTGTTGAACAAGAATGCCAGGCATAATAGCTTTAGATCCCAAGCTACTTATAGAAGCATCAGTATTCCTGGCTCCATTCTAGCTCCCATGATGTTTCTTGGAGGCAGCCTAGCCTAGGCTTACTTTCTGGAGACAAGCATAGACTTTGGAAACAGCAAACACATGCTTCTTTTCTTCTTCCATGCTCAGATTCTTTCTTAAATCAAAATAACTTTTTAAGTATTTGGGGGGAGGTGAGGGAGATCTTAATGACTATATTTTTCTCAAAAAAATCAAAAATTCATTTGCATCTGGATGGGCCATCGCTTTCCAAAAGAGAAGCAAAATCCTGAGCCTCCCAAGAAAACAAAATGAAATAGAATGAGAAACAAAAGCCAAGTATCAACCACCTCCCAAACTGCACTGAAAACAACATCAGAAAACAACAAAACATATCAAAGCCTTAGCAATATATCAACCTGGAGAGTACAGCCCTTGTAGGCTGCGCTGCAGTCATTGAGCCTTGCCTTGTTCAACATGATGATGCCCCAGGAATGGAAGGTGATGGTTTCTTACTTCGGCCCTAGTACAGAGTATGCTCTTGAAGCTGGATTCCATCAGCAGGTAAGTGAACATGACAAATGTCAGTTTCCTCTGTTCATTATACATAATTTTTATGTATATATGTATATATATGTATATATATATATATAAATTTGCTAGATCTGGTTGTTCCTTTAGAAGCCTTTTATGTGGCAGTAGGCCTCCAGGGAAGAGAAGAAAATGTACAAGAGCCACAGGAGCACAAAGAGGCAGGATGTCAAGAGCTTGGCAGTCCGGGGCCCGCCTAGCTCACCTCCAATTTCTGGCCTCCGCCGATACAGCAGCACTCCCACATTGATGAAAGCAAAAATGGTGAAGAGAGTGACAGAGAAAGCCAATGTGCCAGGGGACACTTTGAACTGTTCCCCATTGGCTGCATGGTAGATGGCGGCAATGGACCAAGCCACGCCGATTCCCAGGAAGACATTCACAGCATTGCTGCCAGTGACGTTACCTATGGAGGCATCAGCATACTGGTCCTGGGTGGCTGCCACTTTACTGGCAAAGGTGTCTGCGGAAAAAGAAGACAAAGGGATGAAGTTCAACCAATTGAATATGTCTGGAGCATTGCATGCTTTATCTGTGATGCTAGAATCACATCCCAAGGGTTAACTCATTGACCAAGAGTGAGCTGAGACAGTTTGTTGTTTCATGTTGAAAAGAATGGCTTCTAAATTGGGAGAGTTGAGAGTGTGGTGCTGGTTATGTTACTGAGACATGACCATGGCCAATTTTTTCTGTTTGTTTTTGAAAAAAGGAGTTGAATGTACCACTTCTTATGCTGGAATTCCTAATGGGTGCCAGTTTGAGTCCCAGCTGCTCTCTCTTACAAGCTCCCTGCTAATGTACCTTGGGAAGCCAGCATAAGATGGTGCAAAAACTTGGATCCCTGCTATCCCAAGGAAGACCCAGATGGAGTTCCAGAATCCTAGCTTCAGCCTGGCTCAGCTCAAGGAGTTGTAGTTATTTGGAAGGGAACGAGCAAGATAAAAGTAGGTTCTCATTCTCCACCTCTCCCTCCCTCTTCTGTAACTATGCTGTTCAAATAGATTTTGTGTATGTGAAAAATAAAGACTGAAGGTCTTATCTAATGGTTCTCTCAGCAAAAAGTTTAAACATCCAGGACTAGGCTAGACCAAGCCTAGGTGCCAGAAACTTCATGTGTGGGCAGTAAAAGTCCAAGTATCTGGGATATCATCCATTCTTTCCCAGACACAATAGCAGGAAGCTGGATTGGAATGTGGAGTAATTGGGACTTGACACAGTCACTGCAACATGGGATCTGGCAATATAAAGTTGCAGCCTAATCCAGTATAGCACAATAACCATTCTATTGGCCAAGTTCTTTATTCACAATGCAGTTCTTTGTGATACCTAGCTTGGAGAGCAGTGTGTTTCAGAGAGTAATCCGAGTCCTTCAACATCAGATCCAAGGGGGATCTTTCTAAATGGCGATGAGCACAAGGTTCTGTCCAGTTATGCTGGGACACAGTCATTCCGGCCTGGCAGTCTACTTTAATAATACCCTGAAAGCTTCTAGCTCACTAAAAGTTGAGCATGGATGCTGGATGTTATTATTAACAAGTGCTATATCAGCAATTTTAGCTTATCAGTGAGAAAGGTCAAGAGAGATTTCCAACTATTCAAGAGCAAATCAATAGTGGAAATGCCAAGAACTGAACTCTGATAATAGTGGAAATTTGCCTGAAGCTTTATAAATAGGAAAGCAAATTGACCTGTTACTGCAATAATAGGCATAGCAATTTAAAATATATATATTTGAAATAGTTAAAGGGAGACAGAGAGGTCTTTTGCCTCTTGTTTCACTCCCTAGGTCTGAACGCTTGGGTCATAGTCCACTGCTTTTCCCATGCCACTTGGAGTTGTATCAGAATTGGAGCTGCTGGGACATGAACCAGCACTCAGATGGGGTACAGGTGATGACTTTTATCTGTTACGCCATAATGCCAGTCGTGAAATTGATAACAATTTTATGGGGTGGAAAGATTTTATATGTGAAGAAACACCAGCTCGTAGATGATAAATAACGGGCAAAGCTTCCTAGCAGCCGGGAAGGAGCCAGGTTGGCGCTGCAGCCCCAGCACCCGTCTGCCAGACTAAAGCTTATGTATCATGTTCTCTTCTCTCTCACTGCACCATGGGCGCTGACGGCTGTGCTCACCGCATTGTTCATCAGTAACCCTGCATGTGTCTTTTTTTCTGAAGGGGATAAAGTTGTGGTCCACTACAGGGAGCAAGCAGGGCAACAGTAAATTATAATTCCTGATGAACTGAATATGTCTGAGTCAGGTGGTTTCAAATTCTGCCTTCCCCACTGTGTGTGTGACTTTGGTGGTACAATTCCCCACCCATGAAATTGTGTTTCTGGTATGCACTTCAGGTTGCTGTTAGCAACTTGGACAACTACATTAAACTGCTCTTCCCTTCCATTTTGGAAAGAAAATATGAACACAGCAGGCTAAAATGGTTAAAAAGTCAGCAGAGGGCCTGGTGTCATAGCCTAGTGGTTAAAGTTCCCACCTTGCATATGCCGGGATCCCATATGGGCACCGGTTCTAAATCTAGCAGCTCCACTTCCCATCCAGCTTCCTGCTTGTGGCATGGGAAAGTAGTTGAGTGATGGCCTAAAGCCTTGAGACCCTGCACCCGTGTGGGAGACCCAGAGGAGGCTTCTGGCTCCTAGCTTTGGATTGGCACAGCTCTGGCCATTGCAGCCACTGGGGAGTGAGACAACGGACGGAAGATCTTCCTCCCTCTCTCCTCTCTGTATATCTGACTTTCCAATAAAAAATAAAACACATCCTAGAAAAAGATCAGCAGAGAGCAGAAGGCATTTGGCTCAGTGGTTCAGTCACTTCTTTGGGCCAAAGCTGTATCCCATACTCCAGTGCTGCCCTAGTGCTCGGCTTCTAATCCAGCTTCTTGCTGATCAGCCCTGGGAGCCATGGTTGACTCACAGGCTTGGGTTCCTGACACTCAAAGCACATCCAGATGGAGTGTGGATGCCTTGCTTCGGCCTGACTCAGCCCTTGCTACTGCAGGCATTTCAGGAGTGGACTAGTGGAGGAAAGATTTTTCTGTTTCCCTATCTGCCTTTCAGAAAATTATTTTTTAAAATTTCAAAATGTGGTGTAAACATGTAAATAAAACTTGCAAATGTGAAAGTTCTTGACTATATATGCTTTGTTACTGATATATATATATATTTGTTACTTTTGTAAAATACATGGCATTATTAGGCTTGTGGTAGATACTGATAACTTCTAAAATGCATGCAACTTTGCAAAGGCAAAAATGGCAAGTTTTAGCTTACTACAAGGCATCTGTGCTGGTCCTTCTGAGGTCCCTGGCGTGCTCCCAGCATGTATGTGGTTGTGTGACACCTGGATTAGTTTTTCCCTGCATTGTATTTTGTTGCCACCATGTTCGCATCAGTAAATTTCCAATGGGAAAGATACATAAAGCAGGTGAATATTTATCAGCCTGTATAATACAGTGCTTATCATGAGCGGAAGGTCATTTCAGCTCTTGAGAGGCTATGGCATCCCTGCTTAAAAGGGATTTTATAGCCCCAATATCCTGTTACTGATATGGTATATGTGATGAAAAGCAGATACTTTTATGTATTGACATTTTGTGACTTTATATATTGACAAAATTGTACCTATTTCTTCAGTATCCTGTTAGGTGGATCCATGCATACATTGCATAATGTTCAAAATGGGGTAAGCTTACCTATCTCCCTAGATATTTATCATTTGTGATAATAAAAGATACCCCCAATCCTTCCTTCTGGGCCTTCGCATGACATCCAATACATTATTGCTAGGTAGTCACCATACTGTGCATCAGAACATCCAAACTTAGTTCTCCTGCATCCCACTTAATACTCACTGATGAGCTTTCCCTCCCAGTCACTCTTCCTAGCCTCTAATAACTACTATTATGCTAGATTATCAGAGCAACTTCTGTCGATTTCACATTGTGAGTAAGACTATATGATCTTTGCCTTTTTATATCTGGATTATTTTACTTAGCACAGTGAGTTCAAGTTCCATGCACACTTTTCCTTCTGACAAAATTTCACCCTTGTAATGGCTGAATAGTATTCTGCTCTTTGCAGGTACCTCATTTTCCTTCTCCATCCATTGGCTGATGGATATCAGAGTTGCTTCCTTTTCTTGGCTGTTGTGAAAAGTGCTGCTGTGCACATGGGAGTGCTTAGGCTGCATAGACCTAGAAAGCCAGTTTTCCCACTGTTTACTGTTTTTCTTCTCATGCTAGGCACCTTGTTACACAAGTTATCTGTATATCCTCATGAAAACCACTCACAAGCCTATGGACTAGGTGTTATTTGATTTGTGACATTATGCCTCTTGGACAGTGTCTTGGTCAGGGGGGAGAAATTTGGAGGCAAACCTGTTTGATTTCAGAGCCTTTTCTCAGACATATCCTAATACCCATTGCAGGAAGTCTTATGAGATCCCTTTTGCTTAGCCTGTTTTAGGTTGAACTGTGTCTTGTATTCAGAAACTGTGAAGCAGGTTCTCATTGAATGCTCTCCCCTTTAACGGGGACAACAAAGGCTCAAGATGGTGCAGGCTGTTTGCTAATCCATCCTTCTGGATTTGTGCTGCTTCGTGCATTCATGATCACACACTGCAGCCCTATGGGGATTATCACAGGAACTTGAGTTTCAGAAAAGCAAAGCATGACAAATCTTAATGGCCTCTTGCATTTCATTATTAGGCATTAGAGCTGCTGCAGCTAACATAACAGTCGAAGTTGTTTTCCCAAGGACAGGCAAAAGAGCAAGTGAAGTTAAGTAGAGTCAAGCAGGAGAAAATGGCTCAGAACTTAGCTCTGGCTGAGGGATACCTGACATGTTACTCTGTGCTGAAATGGCTGCTGACAGCAGCTGGTGGCCAACAGAAGGCCATACTGGGTGACGAAGTTAGAGCAAAGGTGTTCTCTTACGAGGCAGGGACTGGTGAGTTGGAATTGTTGCGCATACATGCTTGCTTGTCTTCCCTGGCATGTGGTGTATAGCACACTGGACTTTCGCCCCATCTCCACTCAGTCTTTGGAATTTCTGAATAGTGCTTCTGCTATTGTTTCAGAAGTGAAGGAAGTTAAAATAAAAAAGTTCCTGGTCTGGGGATCCTGAGCACCCAATCAATTGGTTTTTTCCTCCCCCTGAAATGGAAGTTATAAAAAGGCATTCAGACATTTCCTTCTCATTTTTTTCATAGCTTATCAATGTGAATAGTGGTTGAAAATTTTTACTGATAATGATTTCCCATTATCAAATGTCTGTCTCTGAATTCCCTGAAAAATAGTGACTAAAGTGATAAGACTGCCATTCAAACAAACTTTTTGAAGAACTCATTCTCTTAGATTTTATTTTGCCTTGGCTTGTGTATTATACCTCTTTTTTTAATTTAAAAGCAATTTTAAAAATTACCAGAACAAATGTAATTCCAAACTATT